CTGTTCAGAGTGATAATAGTCTGGTCTCTTAAGTTCAATTTCAGCATATGTAAAGATAAGGACAGGTACTATGAAGAGAATGAGAGACATTATAGTACTCATTATTGACTTCCCCAATGTTAGGTCTTGAAGAACTAAAAAGCTTTCATCATCCTATCATCCTGTAATGATTTGATTAGTTCTACAATATGCAGTATGTATTAAGTGTGTGTGAAAATGGGGACAACTTTTTGGGAAAAAAAAGATAGACAGTGAAGACTCCAGTGGACTTGCTTTGAAATCCATATTTTTTAAAATTGTTTCTTTATGAACCATTTTGTTCTATTTTGATATGTTTAATCTTACCCTCTTTAAGATAAAAAAGTATGTGGATGGATAACCATATTCCTAAGTTTTTATTGGATCTTTGAGCAGAACTGTTGGCAGCGTCAGTATTTGAATGTCACTTTGTATGCTTTAATTTTGTTACCTGCACAACTATTTCTAAGATGACAATATGTAACTTATCAACTAGTGATTTCATACTTTTTATTTTTCTATAGTTCTGTATTATTTCTACCCTTTTTTCCTTCTGATTTTTTTTCTTTAAATAAAATAAAGAAGAAAAGAAAGAACAAGCGACATTCATTTATTCATCCATGAATTAGGCCATTCAACAGACATTTATGAACTGACTCCTGCAAGGTAATCACTAGTCTAGCTACGAAGAATAACTCCTTGAACATAAGTACGCAATAGCTCTGATATCATAAAATTTGTATTCTCATTAGCGAAATAGTTAACATAATGACACATACATCAGCAGGAAAGTTTCATGTTATTGTTTTCACTATGAGAGAAATAACCAGGCTCTGTGGTAGAGTTAGGGGAGTACTATGGATAGGCACTTCAGGCAGAAAGATCAAAGTAAGAGAATTTTCCTACAGTGGTGCTACATGACCTGAGATCTGAAGCGAGAAAATGAATTAAACTGGCCAAAATGGGAGGCAGGACCAGAAAGGAGTTAGGACCCGATATGGAAGTTTCAACCAGGTTCAAATTAGGTAGGCCTTGCATAACATAGCCTGCAGTTTGCATTTTATTCTAGGAGCAGCAGGAAGCCATTGCTTCAGTCAAGTATAGACAGCTTCATATTTATACTCTAAAAACTCTTTTTGAGATTGCTGCTTCTCTAGCTGTTAAGTGATGCTTGTTTCTTGGGAGATCATCAATGTGAAGACTTGAGTTTAGGAGTCAGGAGACCTGGAAGTTTTGTACAGGTTCGAAGGCTACTTTTCTTCATTCTGAGGAGTGAACCATTGATACTTCAAAAGCAAATTGGCTGCTGGGAAGATAATACAGACTACAATAGTGCTTTCCAAACACTGTAATATAGTTTCCTGTAGGAAAAGTGACTTCACATGTGGCAGACTGATGTTTTCTAGTCCTGGTTGGTTTACTTATTTTTCACCTAAGGTTAATAGAAAGCACAATTAGAATACTGTGAAATTTCTGGCTTAGCAAAATAAAACCTACCTAAATAATAAATGAAATACTGTGAAATTAGCACTGTTGTATGATGCTGTTGAAATCAGTTTTAGTGAAAAATATCTTCAAGGAAATTTGATGCTCAGTTTCCTGTGATTTTTTTCACATTCAAGCAAATTTTCTTGCATTAAAATTATGACAATGATGCTCATAAAATTATTGTCCCTAAATTTGATAATTAGGAACAATAGCAAATGTGATTATTTTAGGCTCTACGTTTAAGTAAGCAATCATTTAAAATTATTTCTCTCAGAAGGTTTCCTAGCATAGAAATACCTAAATAAAACATGTAAGAAGACACAAAATAAAAATATACTAAATACTAAATACACGAGAAGCACTTTTCATAAAATTACACAGGTATACACGTATATATGTACATATATCCAAACACTTTAACCTGTGTTTTGTCACTTGACAATCTATCCAGCCTATGCAGATTAAAAGAGGTTTATTTGGCTGCACTGTCAGAAGTTTCAGTTGTGCTTGGCTGGTTCCAAGACAGGACAACAGGACAGCACAGTAGAGAAAAGCTGTTTACATCATAGAAGCCAGAGAGCAGAGAGGAAAGAGCCAGGGAGGAAGACATAGGCCCTAGAGAAGGAGCAAAGAGTCCAAACCTGTGATCTAGCCAGCCACACCAAGAAGGGCTCTTTGTTGATCTCCTAGGGAGCTCTCATGCCAATCAAGTTAGCAATCAAGGTTAAACATAACAACATTTTGTAAAAAGTAAGTGTTACTACGAAATTCAGTGAGAATCTATGTTTATCTGACACTTTACATCTTTTAATCTATCCAAATAAACATATATAAATAATAAATAAAAGCTTAATGTGGTTTATAGTTACAACACACAACTCCTTCAGACTCTGAATTCTATTCTGGGTCTTTCATGGCAAAATCAATTGCCAAGGGGCCAGAATACATAGGTTCTACTACTGGTTTCAATTTGTATAAGCCATGCTTTAAAGAAGTCCCATTCTGTCTGTAGAACCTATTTCTGCTAACAGTTAAGTGAGGGACTTGGGCTGGATCAGTCTTTCCCATACTAAAATTGATGCAGAAGGTCACGTCAAGTAGTACAAAGATCAGTTTTCTATTCCTAACCCTAATCATAATCCTGACCCTAACCCTTATATTATACATATATATTAATTATTGTAATTTGTGCATATGTAAGAAAACATATAACTAGCACATCAAACATATGTTTTCGTAAAAAATGTGAGTTAAAACAGGGATAAGTTATAAAGTAATTTTAAAGTCTACTTAATATCAAATTAAATAATGGCATCGGTGGCACACAGATAGAAATACACTATGATGGTGAAGAACAAACATGTACAGTGCCACTGGGGAAAGCTCAGCCTGAACCAGCAAGGGTCTGTCCCCTTACAGAAAGTCACATAGTGGGAAGACTCTGTGGGTAAATATGCCCAGGACCAGCACATGCTACCCTAAGGAAAGAAAAATAACTAACTAAAAGAACTTGAATTCCATATAAATTCAGAGGCACAATATACAGGTTATGGTATCTAAGTCTCTACTGCTTGGAGATCAAGGATGTAAAGAAAACTCCCTCTAAAAGTGCAGAAACTCCTTTCTAGCTCCACAAGCCAGGCCTATGCAGGTTGTGGTGCAACCATAGGTGCTGGAGACACTGGGCTGTGGAAAAGAGGAGCAGATGATGGATGAATCTACATCCTAAGAGGATGTAGGAATGCTGGGTAACTTCTTCCAAGCAGTTCTTTAAAAGTTTCTCTTAATCCATTGAAAAGAAAGGTTTCTGCTAATATTGTCTGGAGAAATTTTTATGTCCATATCTTATACTGTGAATAAATACCCTAAAGATAACAATACTCTATGTACTAATTATTGGTATTCTATTGTCTTGTTATAAAATATTGTTTTACTTTTTCCCATAAAATAACAAATACTTCCTATAAAAAAATTTGCCTTTGAAGGCAAGATCTGAGACAAGAGCAAAAAAACAGAGGTTAAAAGAACACAACTTAAAGTAAGATAAAAAGAAAACCTGGAAAGAAAGAAAAACAAAATACCAAAAAGAAATGAATTATAACTGCAGAAAAGAAAGAAACTGGAATGAAAAGATTCTATAACCTGAGATAGCAGAGGATAATGAAGCTGAGTCTGAATAACAGCTTTCACATTTGTATCACTGGCCCTTATACCTCCATTATTTAATCAATTGGAATATCTTATTAATTATTCATAATGGCGTGTTACAATTCAAATGGGTAAACCACAGCATCAAAATTATATGTGATCATTGTATGCCTCAGAAAAAAGAATGCTGGATCAGGGAGGTTCTGACAGTATTGTAACAGTACTGTCTAAGAACTTAGCATTTCTTTTAAAGATTTTCATGGATTTTACTGTGTCTAACACCAAGAATCTCAGAACATGACTGTGTTTGAAGATAGGACCTTTAAGGAAGTATTAAGATAAAGCGAGGTTATATAAGTTGACCCCACTTCAGTATCATTGCTATTTTCAGAATAAGAGGAAATTTGGAAACAGGTAAGAATACAACCCCACAAGGACCAGATGAGGACTCGGGGAGGAGGTAGCCAACTGCAAGCCCAGCAGAGAGGCCTCAGGAAAAACTAGCCCAGTCAACCCTTGATTTTGGACTTACTGCTCTCAGAACTGTGAGAAAATAAATTTATATTTAAGCCATCAGCTGTGATGCTTTCCTATGGCACCCCTAAAAACCCAGTTTATTCACCCTATAAATCTAATTGCCCATCGATCCCAGATAATGTCTTCATGATAGAAAGCCAACACAGGAAGAAATCACGGGGGATGGGAAGTCTCCAGTTTTGGATCAAAGTAACCCATTTTGGAGAACCTCTTTGTATTTACATCATGGGATTTCCCCATTAGACTAGGAAATGTCCCATCATTTCTTCCAAAGATATGACCCATGTAGGATCCTCTCTGTCTCCCTTTCCCTTACATTTCTTTCTTTTATTATCAATCAATTATTTCTTGGGATGAGGCTTCACTCAGAATCATCCCCCTCTTGCCCCAATTTAGGGGAGGACATGCAGTGTCTGTATTCTCACATGCCACAGTGGTGTCTCTATGTAAAACATTTCCCTGAGTGACTTGGACCAAGGTCAAGAGGACAGAATTATGTGTGAGGATGAACACACAAACCATTTTACTCATTCTAAGCTTTTGTGCCTCTAAAATTTTGTGTCTCACAAATTTCTGGCATAGCTGAGGAACTAGTGTGACAAATTGTTTTCTCTTGCACTATTTGAGCATCTCGTGTGGGGCACATTTACTTCTTCCAGTGTATTCTCGCCATTGATTTGGATGGTTTTTACACAACCACAGACCTGGTGCTGGGTGGCAGGAGGTAAATATAATAGACTACTTCCTAGTCCCCAAACTGCAGTGGTTCCCAGAGAGAAACCCTCAGCACTAAGGCCCCTGGCTGCTGCTCAGAGTTTGTGCTCAGCTCCCCATGCAGTTCCTGCCACTGTGTCACTCAGAGCACAGTAGTACACAGCCGAGTCTGACTCTTTCACCGAGGCTTTCTCCAAGTGGAAGGAGCCAGTTGCTTTATCATATGTGGCTTCAAATTCTTTGTTTCTTCCCTGCTCGTTGGCTGTCCTGGCTTTCAAGAGAAGCTGTAGACCTTCTCCAGGATACTGGACATACCAGAATAGATTCGGATACTGTGTGTTCTCATAGGAACAATCCACAGTTAAGGAATCTCTTTCAAAGAGGGTCATTCGGTCTTCTGTCTGGATCACTGAGTCTCCACTGACTGCTCCTAAAAACAGAGTAAAGTGATATCAAGTCTGTGCAGCCCACCTTGGTCAACACATGGCTTCTGCCTCAAAGAGAAAATCACGGTTAAAACTTGCATCAACAACATGAAACAATAAGGTTAAGTTTAGTGTGCCAGTTTACTTACCAGTCACTAAGAAGAGCACAGTCACTGGTCCTGGAGAACAGTGCATTTTCAGAGACTCCAGAGTCCCTGAATCCTGACTTCTCAATGTGAAGAAAGTTTTGTATCACTGAAAAATGAACATAACTCAGAAGTAAACCAGGAAAGTGTGTGTGTGTGTGTGTGTGTGTGTGTACACACGTGCACATGTTAGGTAGCTGCACCCCCTTGTGGGTAAGACACTAAATGTAGCTGATTACTAACCTGTTCTTTGAAGTCTGTGCTGTGTTTCCATCCCTGACTTTTTTCTCAGACAACTTGCAACTTTCGGGTGGGCCTATATAATTCTAAAGGATAGTTGGTATTTTTCATAAGCTTATTTGTACCCTACACATCAGCAGTATGGAAACTCCATCATGCCACAATATTTATAAGAAGAATTTATTTTACTTTTTCTTATTGAGCCATTTAGGTAACCCTGGGATCCACTAGAAATCAAATAAGCAAGTTTTAGGATGAAATCAGGAGACTATAATAAGTTTAGTAATCTGCAAGTGAGGTTAGATGCTGCAGAATAAATCTTTTCTCATTATACTATTCCAACACAGGGGAAAGTTTAAGAAATCAAGCAGCAGCTAACAAATATTTCTTAAATTTACACGTGAATTATCTTTTGTTGATGACGTGCAACTATTTAAAATATACTGCTTCACATTTAAGGCCCTGATTTATAGCAGGTGAAATATAATAAAAGCATCTAAAGGAAAAAATGAAATTTTGTATCATATATATATATATATATAACTTAAAAACTGAAAAATAGCTGAGAATGTAGCTTAGTGGTAGAGTGGTGACCAGAGTGGATGAACTCTCAGTTCCCAGAAGTGCAATGAAAAGCTATATATGTATATCTCATTAAAATTGTTTAATCCCCTGTACAATCATCTGGCATTGGTTTCCTGTGTCCCAGGATAACAAAAATGCCAAGATAAAATGAGTGCCTTTTTTAACTCACTTCTTTATTGCAAGCGGCTTCAAAATTAGTCCTCTGATCCTAAACATTTCCTGGAAATTTTGGCTTAAATGTGTCTTCTACATATGTCCATCTGCTGACTGTACTGGTCAATACAAAATAATAAAATCGCTCTCATTATAGAAGATGATACTGTCAAATATGAATTTTCCTCAAAACCAAGAAATGAACCACATCATAAACTTCTAAAATTTGTAGAAACATATCTGCTGATATGGAGAAGCATCTCATGGAAATATGGCAGCTCTTTGTTTATAAAATTTAGTTAGGAATTAAAGTAAAAATGCATCTCTGGGAATATCTCCTACTACTGATAAAACCAAATCTTCAAATGAAATACATCACACTCTTATGTGTAATCATGATACTTTCTGCCTGGTGTGAGAAATTAAAAGAGTAAATTGTTTAAAAGAAAAAGGAAAGTAGGATGGGAAAAGGGATAAAGGAGTGAAAAATACAAGTTAGTTAACTATTAGCGCCTTTTCGTTCATAGAAAAGGAAGGATTGTGCCAATATCGAATGGAGAATTTTTATGCCCATATCTTGTACTCTGAGTCACTACTTTAAAATAATAGTATGCAATGTATTAACTCTTGTTATTCTCCTGTCATATTGTTATGACACTTTGTTTTACCTGTTTTCCATCGAATAAAAATAAAAAAATAAGATACGGTGTGTGGTATCAGTCAGCCTTACTTACGTTTTTCCAAATACACAGACATTGCTAAAAGAAAGAAATTCTTTTTGCACTGAGTTGCTTTGGTACCTGGTTGTGCATCGATTGACCAAATAAGTGTGCTTCTGTTTCTATATTCTGTTCCACTGATTTATTTTCCTTTGTTTACCAGAATACCATAGTCACACTTATTTATTTTCCTATCTTTACCACAGTATCCTACTACACTGATTGTACTATCACTGTAGTCAGGAAATCAGCATAATGTGTATAATCTCTCTTTGTTCTTCTTAAATTTTATCTCTGCAAGTTGTTCAGGAAGAACAGTTTGTCCCTTCATTGTGTGATTTTTGGATAATTTTTTTGATGCCTAAATCTTGTAACTGGAAGAACTACTTCTAAGACAACAATAAGCAATATATTAACTAGTGTTTCCAGCTATTTTTTGAAATTTTTATTATTTCTATCCTTCTTTATTTTGTTTTTGAAAAATGAAAGAAATAAAATGTAAGAATTCACCTAAAAAATAGAACTCTTTAGATTAAAAATAATCATCTCAGAGAGTTGTGATGATTCCACGTGTGGCAGTCTTACCAGGTAGTCTTTGATGACAGCCCTAAGAGAAAAACTGAGATCTGACTTGAGCACTTCTAGAGCCAGCAAGGAAAGGGGCCCTAACCCTCCCAGGGGTAAAGACATTCCCCTCACAGCAGTACCAAAATGACAGGATCCAAACCAAAAACATTTTACTGCTGCTGCTTTTGACCATTGATCACAGAGCAAAAAGGCCACGAAGAACGGAAGAAGCCAAGTGAGAATGAAGAAAGCCTTTTCCCGCCATCACTGTCAGCATTAATCCTTTAGCATAAACGTGTTTTTCAATGTGCTTCCTGGAAAACTCCCTCTGTGTACTCAGGGAAAGCAGAAAAAGAGCTACAGAAAGACGAAGAAGCTAACAGACCAACAGACTGCAGATTGGGGTAGAGAATTTCAGCAGGATATTTTTCAGATTCATACTCAACACTTTTTCTCCCTGTTCCCTTCCATGCTCTGTCAGATCTGTGTACAAAATAAGGCTAAACAGCAGGAAAATCCAAATCTCTCTTTTATAGAGAGTGCAGTATGAAGCTTTCAGATCCTGAGTCCTCTCACAATTGTTCTCTTCCCTTCCCTGATTAATTTTGGCCCACTTCTTTTCCAAAAGGTCAGATTAAACACCGAAGTTTGGAAACTGCTGTCAAACCTCTGAATTTAGATTTTCCCCTGTTGCCTCAGTCAGGACCATACAGGAGCCACAGCAAGCAGCTCATTCTATGTGGCCAGTGCTGAAGGAAAATTGTCCTGGTTGAACCACACAGTTCCCTGAGGAGAGGTTGTCAGGGCATCAGGGACTGTAACAAGCCTTTACTTATTGGTGAATATTAAAGTTAATGTCATACTCTAGAGATGGTACTCAAAATTATGGCAAAAAATAGAGATCTGCTGAAGTATCCAAACTTTGTATTCTTCTTGAAGTAATTGTATACAGTGCTACACACCATACCAGTGTTCTTCTCTCTAAGGACACCCAACATTTTCCTAGGTAACTGAAAAATTATTTTTACACCTCCTAATACTGAAGCACATTACACTTTTCAATTAAGGCACTCATACCTGGGCTCTGATTGTTCAACAAGTGTCTGTGTCCAGTGATTTGGGACGGATATTCCCATGATAGATGTGGACATAGGATTATACCAGACAGGGTACACAATGACCAATCAAGTCTCTATTGTAAAATTCAATCTGTGATCAAAAGCAAAATTGATTCTTGTAGCTGACATTGTTGCTCCCTGTGAGGCACATCCTAAAAATAATATGAAATTCAACATGTTTGAAAGCAGTTCAAAGCTTCTAATTATGGGGTTAATGATGGATCTTACCCATATTAACTTTTTAATTGCATGTATCTCATGTTTCCTAAATGAAAGAAGAAAATCAAATATATGAATTATTTTATGTTTTCATACTTCTCACAAAACTTTTGACATAAGACAAAGTTCCATGGTCCCACAGTCCAAGCAGAACACTTGGACCAGCAACCTTAGCAAAAAGCTGGAACCATGGACTGGTCTCAGATGGACTCCACAGCTGTGGATTCCACACCTCAGCTCGGCCACCTCCAACTTGTAGCTGGCTCTGCATTATATCATTTTTTTAAAAATTTTTATTAAAAAAAGACTAAACCAAACAGAAAATAGGTAGAATCATACATACGTTCAGAGAAAAAAATGAAAAGTAAGAAATCACTAGTTGATGTTTACATGTTGTCATTTTACAGATAGTTGTTCAAGATACAAAAATGGAACATGAAAAGTGGGAATTCAAACAGCAAGACTGCAAACAGTTCTGTTCAACTGTCCAACAAAAACTTAGTAACATGGTTGTCAATCCTTACACTTCAACATATATTCAGTTATCCATATATTCATTTATGTTTAAACAAACTAAAGCAGGTTAAAACCATTCTGAACAAAGAATAATAGTATTGCTTGGTTTCACATCATGACACTCCGTGATCAGCATTGGGTACTATAGTGTTTTTTTTTAATTTAATTTAAAGAAAGACTAAACAAATCAAAAAAAGGGCAGAAATAATACATAATTTCAAAGAAAAAAAACAGTAAGAAATCACTAGTTGATGATTACAGACTGTCTTCTTACAAATAGTTATTCAAGATACTAACGTGGAGCATATAAAGTGGGGATTCAAACAGTGAGATTGCAACCAGTTCTGTTCAACTATCCAACCAATACTTAAAAATATGGTTATCAATCCTATACACTTAAACATACATGCAGGTATCCATATCTTCAATTATGCTGAGATTGAATAAACCCAAGCAGGCTAACATCACTCTGAACAAACAATAATACTATTGCTGGGTATCACATTTTGACACTCCAGGATCAGCACTGGGTATTTTAGTGTCTCTTTTTCTTCAAAGTATCTGTTCATTTCATCATGTGTCATAAGATCAGTTCTCATAAACTGTTTATAGATTCTACACATGCATGAGTCTTAACATGTATTTCTATCCTTTCTATATTAGAGGGAGAAACAAAACAAAGCAATACAATACAAAACATATTCCTATAAATACATGAAATGAAAAAAAAATGTAAGACCTTGTACAAAGAGTTCTACCATGGTTCCTGTGTTGTTTCTTGTTATCTCCAATAGAATTGGCTATATAATCAGACACAGTATAATATCAGTACATAATAGTATTAATAAAAACACAACTTTGTATATAGTATAGAATTTCAAAAACCAGCAGTTATTGAACCAGAATGTGTATGGAAGATTCTTGTCATCTTCAGTGTAAGTTGCCTGTACTCTCAGACTTGATACTATCAGTCATATCAGT